AATATACTTTTGACAATTTTAACATTTCACGTGCAAACCATTTGTTTTCTTTCATTATTGGAAAGTTTTTGCATTTTAAAATTCTGTAATAAAGCTTTTGCAAGTAACTTCCAGTGACAGTACATGCTGTTATCTGAACAATGTGTGTTGGTACAAATGTGCAGTGTCTGAGCATATCAGTTGTATTTATGATCCATTAAGGTGGTGATAGCACTTCTCAGCACCATAAGATGATGATGATGGAATTGGGAAAACATCCTTTATAGTATATATCCTATATTGTATGTTGCACCTTTTTTATATTATGGGAGTAAAGGAGGTGGATACAGAAATTATTATTCCCGTAGTGCCAAGGAATATGTTCTCACGTCCAAAATTACAACTGTATTGTGTTAGAAGTCCTTTATTACATTCTGTAGATGCAGTTGACATAATCTATTCTCAAATGCAGTGCTGAATTTGTGAAGGGAAAATAAAACTAACCTATAGCTAATTACATCTAATGTTAGAGCTAACTAATGCTATTAAAATATCTTTTTTTCTGTTAATTACAAATTTCAAACTCCGGTTATTCAGATTTAAATATTTCATTTGAGATGAACATTTCATTCAAATGAATAAGCATTTTGTTCAAAGTGAACTCGATTTTTTTTTTTTTTAAATACTTTGACTAAGGTGTTTAAGCCATTCCTGAGAAGGCTAGAGAAAAAGATGTTTTGTCCACATTAAAATTCACATATTTGTTTTAAAAGTCCTAAACTCCTGGTATGGTAAAGTAGGGACTTAATGTTTGATAGGCATTTCAGTCTGTGTGTTGTTGCATGCTTTTGATCGTTCCCAGGAAATGTGTCTGAATTAAGTGTATTTTAAGCCTCAAAAAAAAAAAAATTGAAAAATCAATTCATTAAAGTTGAATAGAGACTTTTCAGAATTTGACATCTGAGGTCTCATATAATCTGAATGAAGTGTGTTCCAATCTAGATTCATTAGCATTTTTCATTACTGTGAGGCAAGTCTAGGCAAAGAATCTTTAAATTAATGGAGTCTGTATTGTGCTATTATCCTGTGACTACAGGGGTAACAGTGGAAGACGCTGAAGGAGAGGAACTACAGTGTAGATGTGGGGAGAGAATGTAATGAGAGAAGCAAGTTGAGAGGTTTTAACTGCAGGATCAATAAGGAGAGGATACTGAGATTACAATTTGGATGAGGCAGCATAATCCTAGTGAAATAGGTAGGAGAATTAAAGTTAATAAAGACCCAGGAGACAAATGAAGAATAAGAACATTGGCTGGACAAGAATTTGCAATGAGGAGGATTGGTTGTCAGAAGAGACTGTAAGTATGAAACAGTGAGATTGGGAGTCAGCGAATGGAGAAACAGAGTGTGGATGTGGCACCAGGGAAAGCTGGGGCAATGCAAGAAATCAGAGACTGAAAATTAATAAAGTGAGGGGAGGGAGTGAAAAAGGATCAGAGACGTCCAGTGAGGAGAGCTAATATGAAGTGCTTAAAGAGACTGGAAAGATCCTTAAAACTGCAAGACTAGTTCAGAGATTGTGGGTAGGACTTGGAGCTATTGGACACGCATAGTGACTAGAAACTGTGAGCAGCTATACACACAGAGTATTAAGGACTTGGACAATAATGCTGAAAGCAGGAGAAAGATTGAAAGAAAAAGGAGATTGAAATGGAAAATGTGTATTTAGTGGTTTAGTAGGGAAGGAGTCTAGGATGAGAAACCGTAAGTCTTTGGGCTGACCAAAGTGAAGAGAAAGGATGAGCAGCTAATGGTATCTTCTTGGAGAGGTAGATTGGAGAAGATGGAAAGAAAGTGCTTGTGCCCACTAGGGAACTTTTTCCCTTTTTAGAGTCTGGAATCCAGCTAGGGATTTCCAAATCTTATGTTACATTCTCTTGTCAGCAAAATAATGTACACTTGGCAAATTGTCTCTTTCCAGTGCTTGTACACAGAGGACAGCAGTAGAGTCCCCCAATGGTTCATCTTCTATGTCATGTGACACGTGATGGGAATCCAAATTGTGCTTTTTGTTTTTCACACAAGTTAAGTAACTTATTTCAGAGACAAACGCGAAGAAGTTGGGAATGCCAGTCTTAAGGTTGTCTGTACTACTTAATAAATAAATCCCAGTGTTTTGTTTTTTACCTTATGGTATTGTTTTTAATTACACTATCATATGGTGTTTTTCTATAGGAACCGTGCTGCAATTTTTGCAGGATTTTGTAGGGAGTAAATCAGTGTTGTCTAGTGAAGCAGGCTTGTCTGTCAAATCTTCTCCTTAGCTGAAAATACAGTGAATAAAGCAAGTAATTACAGAAAGAGAAAGCACACAGTATTAAAACTGTTAAATATTTTTATGCAGTATTTTATACTATTGCTGTCTGTACATTAGAATTTTGGGTTGATGCACAACCAAACTTTTCAGAATTCCTCACTAACTGCACATACGACCTATTTTCAGAGTGCCTGATTTGAGACTTTGGTTATTAATTTTCAGAAATGTTGAGCATTCACAGCAGTGGCAGCAATCCATGGTGGTTTTTTTGAACATGTAATACTTTCTATCCTAAAAATTTATGTCACAGCTTGGGCATCCAAAATAATCAGATATCATTTTTAGTTGATCTTTGTGCCTCCATTCCTTCTCTGTAAAATCGTGAGAATGCTTAGAATCACAGGATGGTTGAGGTCAGAAGGCACCTCTGAAGGTCATCTTGTCCAACATCCCTTCTCATGCAGGGTCACCTAAAGCCAATCATCCAGGATCATGTCTAGATGGTTTGTGAATATCTCCAAGAAAGGAGACTGTAATATCTCTGGGGCAACCTGTTCCAGTGCTCTGTCACCCTCACAGTGGAAAAAAAGTGTTTCCTGATCTTCAGAGGGAACCTCCTGTGTTTCATTAGTGCCCATTGCCTCTTGTCCTGTCACTGGGCACCACTGAAAAGGGCCTGGCTCTGTCCTCTTTGCACCCTCCATTCAGGTATTTATAGACATTTAGGAGATCTCCCCCTGAGCCTTCTCCAGGCTAAACAGTCCCAACTCTCTCAGCTTTTCCTCATAGCAGAGATGCTCCAGTCCCTCAGTCATCTTCATGGCCCTCATTGGACTCTCTCCAGTATGCCTATATCTCTCTTGTACTCGGGAGCCCAGATCTGGACCCAGCCCTCCAGGTGTGTCTAACCAGTTCTGAGTAGAGGGGAAGGATCACTTCTCTCAACAAGCTGGCAATATTTTCCTTAATGCAGCCCAGGACACTATTAGCCTTCTTTGCAGCAAGGGCAGATAGATGACTCGTGATCAACGTGGTGTCCAGCAGGACCCCCAGCTTTCCTCTTGAGCTGCTTTCCAACTTGTGTACTGGTGCCTGAGGATGCTCGTCCCCACGTTGCAGGACCTTGCACTTCCCTTTGAACTTCGTTACATTCCTGTCAGCCCCTTTCTCCAGCCTGTCAAGGTCCTCTGGATGGCAGCACAACCCTCTGGTATATCAGCCACTCTTCCCAGTTTTGCATCATCAGGAAAAATCCTGACAGTACACTCCAGATCATCAATGAAGATGTAACACAGGACTGGATGAGGTATTAACCTCTGGGGCACATCACTAGTTACCAGCCTCCAACTAGACTTTGTGCCACTGATCACCACCCTCTGGGCCTGGCTGTTAAGCCAGTTTTCAATTTGCCTCACTGCTTATCCAGTCCATATGTCAACAGCTTGTCTATGAGTATCTTATGGGAGACAGTGTCAAAGGCCTTACTGAACACAAGGTAGACAATATCCACTGCTCTTCCCTCATCCACCAGGCCAGTCATTTCATCATAGAAGTTTGTCAAGTTGGTCAAGCATGACTTGCCTTTGAAGCCACAATGACTACTACTGATGATTTTCGTGTCCTTAATGTACCTGAAAATGGTTTCCAGGATTAAGAATTTTCTTTAGAGCCAGGTTTGAACACTGTCTTAGCAGATTCCAGAGCCAAGCATCCAAAAATATGGAGTGGAAATTTGAGTGCCTTTCATCTTGTGTTTTGAAATAGAGATTCTATGGAAAAAAATGGAATGTGAATATATGCTATGATGTCCCTGAAAGACTGAGCTACAGATCATTTTCCTTTGGATGTTTTATCTCCTGGAAGTGGTTAATAAGTATCATGCAATAAGACCAATTACACTGATATTTAAAGAGTAATTTGCAGCCTGCATGGTTTTATGAGGTGTAAGGTTCACCATAAGAAGGGTTCTGTGGTTCACCTCTGCACCTGCAATGTATAAGGATTGATTCTCTGACCATTTAAAGGTAAACATAGTGTGTAACACCTTATTAGCTGAGTGAAGATAGGGAGAGATCTTTTAGAATTTGATTTTTGTAGAGTAGATTGCTTTTTTTATTATTATCTTTGCAATTTTTAAGTGGTGTTGAAATTTATAAATGCATTATTCTTATAAACTTTTACATAAAGTTCATTTAAATAAATACAAAAATTATTACAGAAAAAGGTGGCTAATATCAGGATATCAATCTCTTTTACTTCATCAGTCATTACAGACTGTAGTCTACATATTGCTTCTGTCTATTGTAATTCCGTTTAAGCCTTTATTGTTGTAATGTCTGAGAAAATTAATTTTAATAATCTAAACATTTGCTGTTTAAAGATAGATTAGTTACAGGCCAAATAATGTAAGGCCTTGATCTAAGGAAGAATGCAGTTCCATAAGTATTAGCAGATTATGTATAAGTTTCAAAAGGATACATGCTTCAGTGTTTTCTTAAAGGGGAGCTTTGGCCATGTTCTTTATGCTTTAGAAGTGTATCAAAAGAATCTTTATTTCAAAATGGTTGAATTAATAAAAATGAGACCTTTCTGATTGTGTCCAGGTAACTTTTCAAGACAAAGTCTTGTACAACAAGAGGAGATCTGTGCTTTGAAAGAAACAATTGCACAACTTGATAAAGAAAAAGCAACTTTGCAAGACTGTGTGGAAGAAGGAAGAGAGAAGATTGCTACTTTTGAGGAAAGTCTGGCAGTTAAAGTATGTTCTAACGTGTAAATAGTCACATAGTCACAAAAGATAAATAGGGAAAGGATCTGTTGGGTCATCACACCTATCTTGTATTAGTACATGCAACAAGTGCTCAGTGCTGACCTAGTTCTGGTCCAGTTTCAAGGCAACAATAAAACTCATGTTGACTTCAACAGCAGGTTTGAGCAGTGTTGAGCATCTCATGTTTGGTGTTTTGTATGGTTTATACTTATCAAGAGAGGAGACTTTAAGTACTTTCCTGAAGTGGAGAAGAGTAAATTAGCCAATAAAATTTTTTTAAAATCATAAAATTTAGTCTCAGTTCTTCCTTAGGGTCCACTGATGTTAGAGATGCAGGGTGCCAAATAATATTGTCTTTGTTGTCATTGAAGAAGCATCTGAATTATATTCTTTTCACCTTAAGGTACTAGTTTACCTAAGAAAATTTCATCAATTAATTGCACAGTGTGATTTCAAGCTATATAACGAAGCTGTTTAGTTCTTAGTTCTGAAACATTGTTTTTCACTTCAGCTTAAGTCATATTGATTTAGGAAAAACTAAAGAAGGTACTTTTTAACTGTTATGGTTGTTAACTCAAGAATTTGCACTGATTTTTAACAAAACCATAAAGAAAATATGTTGCAGGACGGCCTATAATCATCTTGCCATAAGCACTGACTTTGCATTTTAAAAACTGTAGGTTATAAAATGGTGTCCGTTTTAGAGAAGACATGGCTGTCTCTCAACTCTCTTGTGTCTCCAGTGGAAGGCATTTCCTTAGCCTATCTATGCTTCTTTTAATATCTGTATCCAAAGACAAGGGAGTAAAGTGATATACTTTGTGCTACCTTCTTTATGGAAATACAGTGATGGAATTCTGGTTTTATCAATTACAAACTACCAGACTCAGTTTATTCATTGTAGGAAAGCTATGATAACTTACTTAATAGACGGAAGACATCATTTAAGTTTTGGGACTGTAAGCCAAATGCTACCTTTAGAACCACAAAGGATTAAAAAATTTTATTAAAGTTGTTATATTCTGCAGAAGATAATAATGTTTGTTCCTTTATTTGGCAAATTAGATTATCAGAATTTTCAGCTTTAAATGCTACATGATGAAACTTGGAAAACCACAATCCATTTTGCAGTAAATAAGTTCATCAGCTAGCTGAATACATGGAAAATATAAATAATCTTATTTAAATTTTGTTTCCCATTTATACTGAGGAGTGGTGAGAGTTTTATTTTATTTTTGTTCTTCTTTTCAAGGAGAAAATAATTTCAGATTTCAAGATTCTGATTTCTGAGTTGGAGCATTCCACAAAGTAAGGATAAACTGTCAAGATCATTATTAAATTTTGATTGAATTATAACATTAACTAAAAAATTGAGTCATAGGATGTGCTAATGTATACTTTTGGTTTTTTACTCTATTAAATATTAAAGTGTTAAAGTTTTGTTTCATGATTTGCAAACTTAACCACTGGAAAAATTATAATTTGTATTAGGTTGGGCAGTATTGTCATACCTGAAGTATTTATTGTTTGCTACATAGAAAATCTGCTGAAGCACTCTGTATCTGTGAGAAAGATATCACCAGTTTGCATCAACAGCTTCAAGAAACCAACAAACAACTTGCACAGACTAACAAGAACAGAGACTCATTAGCTCAGGAGAATGACAGGTTACAAGATCATCTTTCTAATATTAAACAAGAAAATCAGGTATATTTGTACAGACAATCCTTGAGTAAAAAGGAAAACTCTGTAATTTTCAGTTAGTGCATGGAGTTGTTGGGTCCTCAACTGGAGTAAACCTGCAAACTAGTTTTTAAGCTCATTTTTCAAACTCTGATTTTTCCCTATTGCTCAGCTCACTTGTATAAAGATGACCAGCTATTCTTATGTAATGGTTTGGCTGTTTATCTCAAGGAACAGCTAAGTAATGTTTTTTTCTGATCTTCATATAAAAACACTGTGGCAGTTATAACTATGGCTTATATGGAAAATACTGTAAAGGAGGCAGCAAGTATTTCTTATAATGAGCTGTGACTGGCCCAGAGCACTTACAAGCTTATGCATTTGACGTGCTAGTAATTTAACACAGCACACATTTTAATAAGGTTCAAAACTTTGTTAATAGTATTGTATTTATTTACATTCCTTTAAAGTGGCTTTTGGATAAAAGATGCTGGAAGTATTTGGTTGTAATACAACATTACATTATCTACTGTGTTATTAATCTGTGTGCAGTTACTAATGAAAGTAGTTAAAATACTTAAAACTAAAGTGTCATTTCATGCACACTCAACGTTCATGCATCAGTGTGTTTTCCAAGCAGCTAGAAATTAAGCTTAATACATGTAGTAGTTCATCACTGCGTAGTGTTCTGTTTTTTCTTCTTTTTCTTCAACTTCTTGCCTTCATTTAGGTTTTCTGATACTTGACCTTTCTTCTCTGCTCTTATTCTACTGCTTAGGATATCGATGTCTTTGAAAATACTTTCTGCTCACCTGGCTTTCTCTTCCTCTAGAAGTGCTACCCAGTTTTGAAGGAGTAAATTAACCTCACCTGATGTTAGGTAGATAAAAGCTTTACATCATTAAGGCTTGCTTTTAAGTGAAGAAAAGTCCTCTCAAAGGAGATTCATCCCATCCCAGTTTTTAAAGTGATTAATTTTACCTGTTTCTTTCCCTTCATTATAGAGGAAGTGTTGCTAACTAGTTTAGATCAGGTGCCTAATTCTGCGCTGCAAAAATTAGGTGAGACAACTCTCATTCTAAATAGCTCTTCTCTCAAACATACTAATAATTTCTCTTTAGCACCCTCTGAGTATCCTAGAAAAGTTGAGGTTCGTGGTAGCTTTAACCACCAAAGATGATCCAAGTAATCAATATTCTTTACCTTTTCTCAGAATCACAGTTGATACTGGTGAGGTCAGCTGGTACAAAACACAGACTCCCTAGCTACTTTTGAAAGCTTCAGGGTTTTCTTTGCAATGCCTGGATGCTTGTAGAAGCAGGTAGGAACAAAAAGTCTTAGCCTCACAGGATCAACTACTTTTTAATATTCTTGCCTCTATAATATGTATTGGTTCCTCTAGCTTCTTCCATTAATGTAGGTGATACTCAAAGTATTTAAAGTAGCATTCTCATTTCTTCACTTGTGCTTACTGGAAAAGTTCACAGATTTCCAGAGCTCCTTTCTCAGCAACACACAGACTTTTCACAACAGGAGTAGGGGTTTCTTCATAGTCTTCTCCACACACCCCACCCTCTACCTTCCTCTGGTTCTTGCAGCTGAATGATCTCCTAGTAATTTTCTAAGGAAGGAAGAGTTTCTGAACAGAGCAGTTCAAGATAGTTTTTCTGCAGTTTTTTTCCTCATTCTGTTTTCTTTGTCAAGCAATAGTTGCCAGAAACTCTGTGTGCGTTCTCCTAATACTTGTGGCTTTATTTCTCCTGAGTAGGAGATAACCACGTAGTTAGTTAATTCAATTTTTGAGCTGTCTTCTGCTTTTTCAAATGTGGGCTTTTCAGAGACTGTAACACTTAAAAAAGAGGGAGCTGGCTCTGAGCCCTGCTTCTTAAATGGGACAGGCTATTTTGTTATGACCATCTAGCTGCTAAATCTGTATTTTTCTTTGCAACTGCTAAATTCTTTTATTTACATTTTTCTTGTTTTTAAGGAGATTTAGTGTTATTTGCAAGTCAAAGAAACAAATTTTTTTTTACAAATACAAAATTTTGTTTACAGAAATATACATGATTTAGGTTTCACATAACCTTTAAATAACAAGTTAATAAAGCCATAGGCGTTAGATATACACTAATTCTATTTTTTTTTGTAAAGGTACAAACAGTATACTTTAACCTTGTGAAACAAATCTTTCTTCATAGGTACTACATAAAAAACTAGCAAAGTACCAAAATGAGTTTGATGATATGATGTTGAAAGCCCAGCATTCAAACACAGATATTGTCAGGCTGCAGGATGTACTGAAGTCTAAAGTGAGTATATGGATTAAACCTGTTAATAAAAGCTGTTTTTTTAACTAAAAATGAAATTTTAACCATATTTCCATGGAAGAATTTGCTTCCTAGCCAAAACTTATTAGCATTCTACTAATATGTTTTTATTAGTTTGAAGACATTTTCTTAGCTGTTCTTGCAGTACAGAGTAATGAAGTATATTTCATTGTGGTTTTATATATATTTGTACACACACATATATATACACACACGTGTATTTATTAAATTTAAAAATTCAGACAGTGAATAATGACAGACTTGGAACTCTCTTGTCTTTATTACCATATGGGATTAATAGTAAAACAAATATTTCTGCAACATATTGCTATACCTCGTATTTGTAATGTTAATCTAGCCATTTTTAATAGAAATCTTTTGAGCATTAAACTGTGACCATCTTGAACAAAACACTGGTCCTTGAGAAGTCTGTCAATGTTTTGGCTAAATGGCAAAGTTTTCACTGGAAAGAGAACATCCAATACCATGCCATACCTGTAGATCTATAGATATCCCTATTTTGTGATGCTTATTGTAAATTATTAAACAAACAAGCTTTATGTGTTAGGAGAGAGAGAACTGTGAGCTTTTGGAGAATTACCACAAAGCCCGTGAACAAGGAGAAAGTTGGGAAGCAAAATGCCATCAAGCAGAAGCAGATGGTAGCTCTGTTAGACTGACACTGATCAGTGCAGAGTCTGAGAACCGCAGACTGAAAGAGAAAATGGAGACCCTTGAAACAGAGGTGGAGCAAGTAAGTTGCAATCGTTCTTTCCATACTTCACCATTGTAATGGTCTGGTAGCATTTTAAGCCTACAACTGTTTAAAATTATGCTTAAGGCCACTTCTCATATTTTAGAGATATTTCCTACAATGAACTGTGTGGAGTTTGAGTTTATTGAATAACATGACTAGAATTCTACCAGTCACACTTTGAAAAAAATCTTAAAAAATAATAGTATATTTCAAGGAAAAAATGTATACTGTAAATTATAAAATGCTGTCATGTTTGGAATGACTGAAGGCATAATGTCACACACAACTCCACAGCATACCTGAAACATACCTAGTGCTTTGTCACCTGTAACGTTCCTGTCCTTGCTTTTATTGCTTCCAGCTTTTCAACCTTCTTTCCACTGCTTTAGATGTCCCAAAGAGCCATTTACCACTTGAAAATTTGAAGACCTTAAAGGGAAATGCACAGCATGGCTTCAGAAATACAAACATATAAACTATCTTCTGTTTTTGGGTTGTTAGAGTTTTTGTTGCAGATCATCTCTACTTCCTGTATATCACATGGGCTACTGAGGGATACCCATGCACATTAAATACCCAAGAGGAACTGAACTGCTGCTGTTCAGAAAGTGGATGAGAACATAACAGTAGCAAAACAGCACAGGAAGATTGTGTGGCTGATTTTGTTGTTTTTTTCAAATAAAATAAAACTGGTACATACTCCTGGTTTGTCCAGCGAGCCTCAAATGGGTAGAGTTTTCATCCTTCTAATTCCTTCCAACATGCCTGCTATTAAGTATAGAAATAAACAGGCCTTTTCATGAAAACTTGTAAGGCACATATCTAAAACATAAAGTTTTATTCAAAAATCTTAATGTGCTTAGCAGTGCTCTGTGTTCCTTGTGCCTTTTTTTAGGCAAGATGGAGCTAGGATTAATGTGATGTGCTCCCCTTATGATCATCTCTTTGGATCTCATTCTTAATAAATCGTTCAAGGAAGTCACAGTGCTTTATCTCTCCTTTTGCTCTGTTAACCTCCCAGACTCATTCTGCCGCCCACTGAAAATTAAGCTAAAAGTGACCAGAAATACAGGTGTCCCTGGGCAAAGTACAGGTGTTTTTCAAAAAGGAAAAACCTAGGTTACACTAATTTTAAACATACAAAATTCTAAAATCAGAACTGCTACTGTCTTGTGGACTTCTCTCTAGTGTGACTTCTGTCATCTCTTAGTCATGCCTGAGTTTACAGGTGACAGCAGTATAAATATGACTGACAGTACCTCAGCATTCACTAATCATCTACATACAAGAATACATTTCATTGCTAAAATAAGAGGGTCTAATCTGAAAATGAAATGGGGCCCATGGCAGAATTTTGAACCTTATTAGCTCCACAGAAGGAGTAAAATTCTAGGAATAGAGTTTAAAATGTCAGGAGCTGATTTTGCTGTCAGAAGCAAGAACTCTTCTAGTTTTTATATATGGGAGTTATTTAAAGAAATCACGTTTAAGCTTATTCCAGAATAAATGACTGCTGCCTCTTAAAATTCACCACAATTATATAGAGATATTTTTGTAGGAGTTTGGAAGCAGTTTTAAATTTTCTTTGCAGTAGAGTTTTGATTATCTGGTATTGCTTTACTGTAGCATTTAACAACCGAAGCAGCATACAAGTCTCAGATTTCTGCCTTAAGCAAGTCTCTCGTGAAAATGGAAGGAGAGCTTCAAAACATACATCGGGAGAGAGTCTCTATACTTGCAAATCTCACATCTGTACAAGAACTTTTCATTAAACTAGATGCTGACAAAGAACAATTAAATCAGCAGTCAAGTTCCACAGCAGCGAAAGTAGAAAGGGTATGTGAAATATATTGGAAAAATAAGTTTACATTAATGTTATACTTAAAGGGTCTAAATCTACTTTGGGATCTAGAATGATCAAATAAATCCTTATTGATGGTTAGTGTTTCCATTTTTTGAGTGTTTAATTTGGCATTCCTCAGGGGCTTACTCCAGAGAGGGTGGATGCTTGTATACTATTTGAAAAGCACACTGCTTTGCAAGGTTTTACTATAATACTCAAAAGACAGGGCTTAAAATTAATGGTTGTTTTCTTGAAAGATGTTTTGGGTCTTACATCTAATCACCAAGTAAGCAGAATAGCTGGAGCAGTTTATTAGCAAAGAAACTTGACATGGACTTTAAAATGCTTGACTCTTAGGAAGTATCAATATCTCTTTAATAATCTTTCCTTAATTTCCCTTGAAAATCAATTTCTGTTTACCTTGATTTTTAGAAAAACTACAAAATTAATGTTTGATAGGCAATTTTTTAAAAACTCAGCTTGGATAAACTCTGAAAAATTGTTCACAGGTACTCTGCGTATTCAGATATTTTCAGTATGATTCTATCACTGTCTTGTCCATACTCTGCTCCAGCTGAGATAATTTGTTCTTGACAGGCTTCCAGCATTCTCTTTTAACCTTTATGTCTTTTCTATACACCATGGGTAAAGCTACTGTTTGACAGTTGGTTATTTGTTCCAGCCAAAGTTGTGTGATGTCTTTTGTGTGCTTGTGGAATCCTCTACGATGCTTTCGATAGGGAAAAGTTCCAGCATATGACATTTGTCTGTCTGAAGCTTTCCTTGACATCTGATATGGCTAAGCCTTCCTGGATCCTTCTGTGAGATTGTCAGTGAAGGGGCTTGCTGGGACTGTGGAGAACAGAAACAGTTTCAGGAGAGAAAAATGCAGAAATGCAGTTTTAGAGTTGAAGAGAAGTCTGAAGTTGGGAAATTTCACTAGTTTTTTTCATACCTGTCAACCAGCAGTCTTTCATCAGCCTTGTATAACCTTTAGATAGAGCTCTTTTCTTACATAGTATTCTAGAAATCTGCATTACTAGATTGCAGCATATGTATATTCAGAAAAGGAAACAAAACCTGATGCTGAATAATACTGTTTTTTCAGTGTTTCCAATACTGTTTATTTTCCTATAGCTTATGCTGTCTCCAGTTTTAAGTATTCTTTTGTTCTGAAATACAAAAGCAGAATATCAAAGCTGTTTATTAGCAAAGGAACTAGATTTTTTGATTGACAGTAGAAAATTGGATCTTTTAGACTGAAGAAACCTTTTAGTTGAGTTTGGTAAGAAGAAATAATTGAGTTTTCCTTTGGAAAGTGAAAAATGCTTTTTTCTCTCCCCCGCTCCAGTTTTGGATTTTATTAATTTTCACTTCTCCCCTAGATTTATTCTTGATGCTCTTTTAAGTAAAATAAGTGTAATCTCACTCTACTAGTAATGCAGATATTGGTTTGTTATACCAGGTGTCATTTACTGCAGGCAAATGGTTAATGAGTAGTTTCTTGCCTCAACAAAATGTAAATCTTCTGTCTTCTTCTTCAATGATTCTGTCTACGCTTTGTATCCAATGATCCATATATTTCATAGCATTTTGTCATTTGTATCAAGTACATTTATATTCAGACATATACATTGGGTGAATTTATAAATCTGACACAGAATTTTGACTGACGGCAAATGTAACACTAATTGTCTATCTCAGAGTGAGAGCAAATTTTGGTCATTGATCCCGGACTTCCTTCTCTGTCTCTGTCTCTCTGTCTCTCTCTCTCTCTCTCGGTTAACATAATAGCCGGTAAGCTTAACAGACATATATCTAAAACTTTAAAATCTTTGTTTAGCTGCAGAGCAAGTGTGAGTCATCCCATTCTGAAATAGAGCTGCTGAGAAAACAACTGGAAAATGAAAGAGCATCTATGAAAAACCTGGAATCTTTGCTTGTGTCCCATCGTGAGAAAGAATTTCAGTCACAGATAGCCAAGCAAGAAAAAGACTCTGAAATTCAGTTTCTCAAGGAACAGCTTTCTTTAGCAGAAAATAAACTGTGAGTAAATGACCAGGAGACTATTGCAGGTTTTTTCGTTCTTTATATACACAAAGATGGTTTTATATCTTGCTGCATTTTCAAATGGCCAATGGACCTTGGTTACCTTAACAGTAGAAGATAACAAAAACCTGCTTTCGACTCCTCAGCTATACCCCAACAGACTTTTCTGTGTAGTGTTATATTTTATGATCTTAATCTCAATTGCATGGTATATTTGCCCTTTTAATTTTGCGTTAATTGTATTTGGTAACATATGTGGAGGATTATGGTTGCTATCTAATTAAAGTGTATGGACTTTACAGTGCTGTGCAGAGTCGAGATTTTACTCAGCTCAGAAACAGAGCAGCTCAGCTAGAGTCAGAACTGGATATCACCAAAAGACAGCTGGGGACTGAGCGTTTTGAAAGGCAAGTATATGGTTTTGTATGGCACTTCCTGCATCTAATTGGAGTGAAATGCAATATAGTACTAAGACTTAGACTAATTAGTAGGATAAACAGCAAAGTTTGGTTTTGCTCTGCTGTACATCTCCTGTGTGTTCAGAGGCTACTCATGTCACTGAATAGTCTATGTAGCTGTTGTACATGCTGTCTCAACTAGTTGTTTTTATAGCCAACAGAATGGAACAGTGAGATAAACTGCCCTCTGGAATTCCCTTTTTTAGGATGGGATGGATCACTTTCCTGAAGATGCTCGTGTGTCTTCACTCATTTATAGTGATGCTTGTTTTGATCTATAGTGAGAATCTAGGTGACTAGTTGATTTATAGACTACTAAGTTCTGCAATATGAATGGCTACCTTTTGGCCACACCTGTACTAGTGAACTAAACCAGATCAGAGCCTGGACTTGAGCAGTCCACACAACTGTATACTTGTCCAGACCTTTTAATTGTTAGCACACACTCTGGAATGATTTTAGCCCATACCAACCCATGTTCTCCCAGGTACTGCTTGGGGCACAGAGGGTGCTAGGGATCATTCCCAAATGGCAGAATGGCCGAAGTAAAATTTTTTTTTTTTTTTTTTTTTTGTGGGAAGAAAGTTTAACAGTACAAGCTGTTTCATATGATTTGGCGCCAGTACCAGAGAATGGTCCCTGGCCTTCCTCATGAGTTAGTTTATCTAGGTAGTCCTGGTATCTTAAATAGTTTTCTTATCTGTAAACCAACAGTACTTCTCTATTTCATTGATGTATTGAGGATAAAATATTACAGTGTCAGGCATTATTTGGGGTCTGTAAAAGAGATGGCTAAAAGAAGCAGAGTGATGTGATTGTAACACAGGTTTGAGAATTGGCTGTCGTGTTTAGTTGTAGTAAATTACTTTGATACTCTGTTCTCTTATAAGTAAGGGTGAAGGTTTTGGAGGGGGGACCTCTACACCTGAGGTTAGGTCTTTTAAAGCTGAATTTCTTAAATGTCTCAGTGTATGTTTCCATTTCAGACTGTATTTTCCTTTACGCTGAAGTCATTGCAAAAACTGAAAAACTTTTGGGTGAGATGTGCTAGTCTGTTTAAAAGGTGGCATCATTTGTGCTTCTTCAGCTGCATAGAATGAGCCAGACTGTATGCTAATACAGGAATACCGTTATATTAAAAGAAACTCGATCTTCTTCAGACTGCTGTTTCTCTACTCCCGCTATGGCAGTGCACCCATGGTGTATGGGTGTTCCCTGGTAGAGACTGCAAGTGTTTCTTCTTGAAGTGTTCATTGGCAGAAGGTTGAAGCAGCTTCCATACTTAATGTCTTCTCCTAGTTAAGGAAAATTTGTTACTCACGTGGGTTTTATAGTTGCAATAATATCAACACTTAGTTTACAACTGGTTAGCAAAACAAATATTAGAGTGAGCCTATGCTGAGGCAAAGATCACCAGTTTTCATTCCTGAAGAGAGTTTATTTTCTACTTCAAGAGAATTACAAACATAATTACCTGAATTGTTTTGGAAAGAACAAAGCTAGGTTCCATTATGCAGTCTGTAAGTCAGTTGCAAAAACAGCATGGAGAAATCTTAGATAGCAAAGACTGAAACGTTCTCATACAAAAATCTGAGACTGACATTAGATTTAGCTGTCTTTGAAAAGCTAGAGCTTTTCTCTTCTTTTGGCTTTTTCATAAAATTAAACAGTGTCCCTTCAATGTCCTGCAATGGTTACAAAAATTCTATTTACTTCCTGTTTTTCCTCAGAAAGTCATGCTACACAAAAGCAGGTATCTATCTCTTTTGCTTGCAGGGAAAGGGATTAAGGTTCCAGGTTGGCTACTTTACGGCCAATCTGTTTTTCTGGTACTGGCAAATGAAAACCAGAAAATTAGCCAGAGGGGAAAAATACTATCATTAAAGTCAGTATCATGACAGCATATAATGGAAGCAGTAGACGTGAGTACTGACTGGGGTTTTTTGTTAGTTTAAAGAAGTGTGTACATGATATCCTTGTTCTAACATTGACTTAGCTAGTCATATTGATTTACTGCCTTGGTGTGAAATGAAATAATGCCTGAAATTAGGAGGTGGAAAGTGCCAATGCTGAATGAGCACCAAGACAGTGGTACTAGGAGACTTAATCCATCTCCCCGGGTTTTTCTTTAGCAGTCGGGAAAAGCACCTCCCCATCTCTCCCATCCTCCTGACTGCAGAAGCAGTTTGGACTCATGTGGAAACAACAGGTTTCATTTATTGTCCTGCTCTGGCTGTGGTGACCAAGCACAGGGACTTACTGTCAGATACCCCTGGACAGCCCCACTTGCATGACTTGCATGTCTTTTTTATCCCTTTCTGTTTCTTGACTCTCCTTTTTGCTGCCCTTGTACCTCCCTTTCTCTGCCTCAGTCTCCTCCCAAATAAAAAACTTACCCATAACTACTTTTCCCCATTGGTCATGGTTTTTCTACACTCATACCCAAACTTGGTATTTTACAGGGCAATGTTACCTGTGAGAGCTGCAAGCAGCCGCACTCTGACTTCCCACCATTGCCAGCACCATCTTGACCATTAAAGACAGTAAAGCATGTGCATAGTAAAGCTGTTAAGAGCAGTAATGCTAGTAAAACTAGCAGTCAACGTAGATCAGTCTGGTTCTGTAGTCTTTACACACATATGACACCACCAAGGTTGTGGGCTGTTGGTAGCTAGGTGGTTACCGTCTGACTGGGCTCCTGCTGCTAGAGCAAGCCCTTTTCTCACCTGTAGGGTCAGATTCGTGAGCCAGTGCCGGATCTGATCCCTTTTCTGCAGGTTTTGGTGATCTTCAGTGGTCAACTCCATAGGTAGGTCTGTGGTAATAGCTAAGTCACACTGGAGTCAGCTTCAGTTCAGTACCATATGGTTATACCTCCATTTGCAAGGGTTTGGGCAATTTGGAGTCCTTTGTCCAGCCTGGATCAGTGCTATCCCTCCAATACACCAATTAATTTATAATGGACCATTGTCCAGGTTTTCCTGGTCCTATACACTGAAACTCAGGTGCAGTTGTAGGTCAATTGTATGAGGTTTAATAAGGCCA